ACTACAGAAATAGTTATGTGACTTTGCTCTTTAGCTAGGCTTGTCCTGGGAATTACTAGGCAAGGTTGCAGTTCTAAACATTGTTTCCATACATTCAGTGTCAGCAGTGTGTGGGATCCTAGCATTTTGGACAAGGCAGGACTCAGAAGAAGTCCTAATCTGGAGGGAAGGAGCATGAAGGGCGGTTGGGAGTCTTCCCACCCCTACAGAAATAGTAAGGCTGTAGTTCTCTTTGACCTGATTGTGGCTGTGGGAATCTCTATGCAAGGTTGGAAATCTAAACATTGTTTCCACAAGTTCAGTATCAGGACTAAGGGGCTTGAGTTCTTTGAGATGAGCCAGGAACTGGTTTATCAAGACCAGTCTCAGCCTTGAGTGGGAGGAGCCTCAGAGAGTAGTGGGAGCTTTCTCTTTCTGTACAAAGAAAGGTACGGCCAATGCCATTTGCTCAGAACGCTGCCACAGAGGCATCCAGCATATTCCAGTTTGCTGTTTGTTACCTGGAGCTCTGTGTCCGGAGTCTAAGGGAGGTAAGGACTTTTGTGAGAGGGCACTGGGCTTAGTAGAGAACAGGTTTCAACCTCAGGGAATATTGATGAGAGAGCTCTGAGAGTGAAATAAGAAGTTGATGGACAATTGGACCCATAAGTCTGTCCAGTGTTCAACTCAAGAAATGATCCAGAAAGGGTGAGAGCTGTGTTATTTCCAGTTTTCATCTGGGGTACTGAAAGCAGTACGATATTGAGAGTGGGCAGACCTGGCCAAGTCCATGACTGAGGGAATGTAAGAAATGGAGAAATACATGGCCTTAGGAGGAAAGTGATGGAAGATAGGGAGACTTGGTCTGATGCACAAATAATAGGTGGTTATGAATCCTTCCCTGGTTGAAATGCTTTTAGGCAGGGAGGTAAACTCATCTCATTGAAAGAATTGTCCCAGCTTTGAGTGGAAAGATGCTAAAGGATAATTTGAGCCTTTTCTCATCAGCATAAGTAGTCTCAGTTGCTGATGTAGGAGCTTCAGGAAGACCCTAGGAAAATGGGTTCATGCTGTTTATTTCTTATGTGCCCAGAGTTAGAGGGAGATGAGACTTTTTATTAGGCAGCTGGACTATGGCTGGCAGAGAAGTCCCAACTCCAAAAAACATGAATGGAGTAATGCAGGAATTTGGGGCCTACCTCTTTCCCATAGACAGAGAGAGGTTGTTCCACTTTCTCAAAGTGCATTCATCTCAAGGAGACTTTAGGCACTTTGAATAGTCTACTGTTTCTAGAATTTTATCTTGCAAGGTGAAGGAGGTGAAGCATTTGTGGAAGGATTAGAACGCTGGTCATCACATGTAAGAATATGAACCTTGAGAAGGAGGACCTTGAGAGAGGTCCTTTGCTGTCTCCTTGCCTGTAGCCTGTAGAAACTGGGACAGAACCTTAGGGCTGCTTTCCTAGGAAGTTTCTTAATTGGGCTATAGAACGGTGATTCTCAACATTCCCAGTGCTGTGACCATTTAGTACAGTTCCTCTTGCTGTGGTGACCCCCAACCATAAAGTTATTTTCATTGCTACTTTACAACCGATATTTTGCTACTGTTATAAACCGTAGTGTAAATATCTGACATACAGGATATCTGAAATGTGACTCATTTAAAAGTGTTATTTGACCTACAGGGTGAGAACCACTGCTGTAGGCTATGTCACAATAGGGAGTGGTTTTGCTAACCTGGTGAAATGCTCAGGTAATAAGAGAGGTAATAACTTGACATCTGATATTGACTTGGGTTTTTCACTATAATTCCTACATGGAGAAAAATCAGGGGCAGATCTCTAGGGAGGACTAGGAAGACTGAGTAAAGATGAAGTGTCTGACAGTCCTCCACAAAAAAAATAGTCCTCTGCTGCTATTTTCCTCAGTTCCTATCCCAGTATGACTCTGAACAGGCTGATCAATGGGAATCTTTGCTGAGAGGCTGAGAGAGTTGAGTATTTTCAGCAGGGTATTAGACACCCAACAGTCTTGCGGGATGTGACTCTGAGGGAAGAATCAGAGCTTTCCCTTCTTCCACAGACATAGTAGGGAAATAACACTGTTCACTAGGGTACTTTCTTATTGGTCATTAAGAAAAAAATAATGTGAAGGAGGCCTGTGAAAACATTGAAAGAAGGAGAGGGTACTTTGGGAGACTTTCCCTTTCCCTTCAAAAATCAATAGTGTTCATTTTGCTTACTAGAATGCTGAGACTAAGCATCAGGAAGAACACCAATTTAACCATATTTCTGTGTTCAGTTCCTAAGATCAGTCCTATTAGAAGAGAAATACATTCCAAAAAGTTGGGTAGGATTCTTTGCCTTGAAAAATATCAAAGAGACTTCCCCAATGATGGAGGACTGGATAAAGTATGAGAGAGTCCTATCACTGATATTCTATAAACTTCTGCTGTGAATCACAGTCCAGCCTCTTCATAAAAGCCTCATGAATTGAAACCATTGACATAGCATCCCCTCCTCTCTGTCTGGAGCCCCCTCTCCACAGACAATCAGACAGAAGGGAAAGTGAGTTCCTTTCCATCTGTGGGGGATGAGAATGATCCTAACCAGTGCTCTCAGCCCTCATTTGGGGCCCATTTTCTGCTTATTTCCCAAAGCTGGAATTCCTCCCCCGTGGATTGTATGTAGCCCAGCACCCTCTCCATGAGCTTCACTAACTTCAGAATCCCAATATAGAACTCAAGAATCTGGAGCAGTTCTGAATTACCTGGACCATTCTAAGACAACTACCTGGCCAATTAAGGATGACTTCCTTTAATTTTGTGTTGGTAGAGAAGACATAGTTCTTGGGGCAAACCTTCATCAGTAATTCACCTCCTCACTGTTTTCTGTATTTTCAGGAAGTAAGCATCTTCATCAAAAGAGAACACCATCTGTGAACGAGGAACAGCAGAACATCAGAGAGAAAAATCTGTGTGGATATCAGGTAATATTCCCGAATGAGGAACAAGGACACAGTCCTTATCCTCCTTTTAAGGACAGAAGGCATACAAAGCTTAACTATGTCCTCTTGCCATCTCTTGGAGGAGCTGTGTACACGGTCATATGTGGTTCATACCCTATTGCTCTGCTGAAATATTGAGTGCTTGTTCTGAGGGGGCAGACCAGGAGCCTCAAAGGGAGAATTCTGAAACTTATCAAGATAAAGACTGAAAAATCTTATGGCGACTTGACATGCCATGCTTTGTTGATATCCGTGGGAGGCCTGCCCCTTTCTGAACAGAAAGAGAGGAGGAGTGTATTGGGGGAGCAGAGCGAAGGTGAGGGGAGGGAATGGGAGGAAAGGAGGGAAAGAGTTCTTCAGTCAGGTTATAAAATAAATGATAACATACATAGATGACAGATAGATAGGTAGATAGATAGGTAGATAGATTCATAAATAGAAAAACAGAGAATAAAAACAAAACCTCTAACCTAGCAGAACTGTGATCACTGAAGTTTGCTGGCATTTCATTATCATTCAGATTAATCTGATAAGGTTCTAAATGGTGTTCTATCACTTTTACTTCATTGTATTAGGAATGTTCAGTCTTGTTCTGTGAATTTGACTTCAGGCTAACCAATGGGTATATTCCATTCCTTTCTAGGGTAAAAGTAAGCACAAAGGGGGCCTTCCACCTTACAACTCTTCAGATTTCATCCTGGACAGGACTAAGAACACCTGCTCTACTTTTATTCTTTTTTAAATTCTTTTTTTCTTATTTTACATATCAGTGTCAGTTCCCTCTTCCTCCCTCCCTCCCTTCCATCCCCCCTGATCCCTCCCACACTCCACAGGGAGGGTGATACCTTCCAGAAGGTATCATCAAAATCTGTCAAGTCATTTGGAGTAGAGTCTAAGCCCTCCCTCCTGCCTCTAGACTAAGGGAGTATCCCTCCATGGGGAATTTATTTCCAAAGTCCTTTTGTGCATCAGGGATGCATCCTGTTTCCACTGTCAGAGGTCCCTTAGACTGCCCAGGCCTTCTAACTGAGACCCATGTTCAGGGGGTCTAAGTTGGTCCAAAGCTGGTTTTCCAGCTATCAGTCTGGGGGTCCATGAGCTCCCTGTTGTTCAGGTCAGTTGTCTCTATGGGTTTCAGAAGCCTGGTCTTGATGCATGATTTTATCACTCCACCCTCTATGCAGCTGGATTCCAGGAGTTGGGCTCAGTGCTTAGCTGTGGGTTTCTGCTTCTGCTTCCATCAGCTACAAGCTGAGCGCTTCATGATGGCATATAAGTTAGTTATCAATCTCATTGTAAGGGAAGGACATTTAGAGTAGCCTCTCCACTGTTGCTCAGATTGTTATTTGGGGTCATCCTTGCAGGTTTCTGAACATTTCTCTAGAGTCAGTTTTGTCTTCAAAACTATGGCATCTCTTTTTTGGCTCTCATCTATTTGTCCCCTGATTTAATCTTCATGGTCCCACATGTTCTCCTCTCTTCCACTTCTCTTTCTCCTAATTTCCTCTCCACTTTTATTCTTAACCTGGGGATGCCACCTAGCTTCCTACTATACAGCTTCCAGGAACTATAGTGATACAATTATGGTCAGTTACATGTTCTCAAAATCATAAAGCAAAAGAGATCCAGAAAGTGTTAAGAGTCCAGGTGAGGTGTATATTTGAACATGCTCAAACATTATACTGAAAAGCACAGGTATCTGAAGGTAATTCATCCCACATACTCTAGTGTACTTCCTGAAGTCAAACTCTGCCATATGGCTGAACCCTAAGAACCTTCATCATCTTCTTTTCTAGGTTTAAGAAGTCAAATAGAAAGGCTGAAAACTCTAGGGCTATACCATATCACCTGGAGAAGACCTGTAAGTTGACCTTTGTTGAGCCTTCAAGAGCAGATAATTTCTCTTTGAGGCTGCTCACTCTTTTTTTTCCTTGCCTCTTATTGTCTTCCCATGCCTATAGAATCTTGTCACCCTCACTCCTGTTTCCATTTCTGTCTTCCGTCTCCAGAGAGCAAAATAATGTCTCGCTATGGAAAGCACCCTCGCCTCAGCCTGGAGCAGGAAGGTGTAAACTTCCAGGATCCACCTGAAACAGATGAGTTCCCACTGGTTGCCACAGCTGAGAAGGAGGAAAAAGAGGGAAAAGTGGAGGTAAAAGAAGAAGAGGAAGAAGAGGACAATAAGCAGAAAAACGAGGAAGATAACAAGAAGAAAGAAGAAGAAGAAAAGGGGAAAGAAGATGGAAAGGAAGAGTGCTGTGATGAAGTGGATGAGGAAGAAAATGAGACAGGAGAAGAAGGCGATGAGACGGGAGAGGAGGAAAATGAGACAGAAGAAGAAGGCGATGAGACAGGAGAGGAGGAAAATGAGACAGAAGAAGAAGGCGATGAGACAGGAGAGGAGGAAAATGAGACAGGAGAGGACGAAATTGAGACTGGAGAGGAAGGAGATGAGACAGGAGAGGAAGGAGATGAGACAGGAGAGGATGAAATTGAGAATGGAGAGGAAGGAGATGAGACAGGAGAGGAAGACGTAGATATATCTTCCATCTTTTTTTCATCTTCTAATGTCTCTTTACCTAGTTTCACCCCCCCTTCTCCTTCCTCTTCATCCTCCTCTTCGTCTTCCTTCTTTTCTCTGATTCAGAGCAACATAGGGTTACATGAGGGCTATGCCCCTGGGATGCTGAGTATTTTTCAGAATGCTCAAAGCTTCTTCCCCTCATCTGTTTTAGGGGGGAATTTAGATGAAGCAACCAGCTACCAGGAAGACAGTTTTGGTGCCATCCAGTCTCCAGAAGACCCTGAAACCTTGCTGAACATTGTGATACAAGAAAAAGCTACTGATTTGGTGTTTCTTTTCATTTACAAGTATAGAATGAAGGAACCCATCACCTTATCAGAAATTTATGAGGTTGTCACAAAAGATTATGAGAACCATTTTCCTGTCATCTTCATTGAAGCTTCTAAATGCTTGGAGATGACCTTTGGTATTGATATAAAGGAAAGTGAACTTCTGAGCAGTGCTTATGTCTTTGTCAACTCACTAAACCTCACCTATGAGGACATGCTGAGTGACAATGATAGACTGCCTAGAAACGCTTTCCTGATAGTTATTCTGGGTGTAATATTCATAGAAGGGAACTGTGCTTCTGAAGAAAGAATCTGGGAATTCTTGAAGCTGGTGGGAGTGCATGATGGGGAGGAACACTTCATTTGTGGGGATCCCAGAGAGTTCCTCACCATAGATCTAGTGCAGCAAAATTACCTGGAGTATCGGCTAGTGTCTAATAGCCAGCCTCCATGCTTTGAGTTCCTCTGGGGTCCAAGAGCCTATGCTGAAACCACCAAGATGAAAGTTTTGGAGTTCTTGGCAAAGATGAATGGGTGTGATCCAACTGATTTCTCAGTCTGGTATGATGAGGCTTTGAGAGAGGAGGAAGAGAGGGCCTGGGCCATACATGACTCTGCAGAGGGAAGTCCAGACTCATGGCTTTTAGAGCGTTGATTTTCAGTTTCTCTTATACTGTGTGAGTGACCTGTTTTCCATAGGTTCACTCTAATTTTGAAAACAGCAGTGAAAATTTTAAGTAGGGAAATTCAATTTTAGGCTCTGAAGAAAAGGTTAAAAACACTTAGTAGGCTGACAGGGAGTTTGCTTAGCTGTTTAATTTTGTTTTGTTTTGTTTTTTAATGTTATTCCTTGTAAGCAAGTTGATTAGCTTTAGAATCTATGATTGAAACTGTTAACACACTTATTATTTTTTTCAAATCATAGTGGAAAATCATGTAATGTAGTTAACTTTTGAATTGGTTTCATCCTTTTAGTTTATTCTGTAAAATTAAAAATGCAGTATACATTTACCAGGCTCATGTAAGAAAACAGGACATATTAAGAAATCTTAATAAAGACTGCTCACTGAATAATTCACCAAATATGAGTGAATCTTTTCTTCTTAGAAAATAATATGATATCAGATGAGGTGCATGGAAAAATAAGACACTTCCCTGTGGAGGGAATGGCAGGGTCTGGGAACAGCTTTCATATAAGGAGCATGGTGAGACGTGTGTTAAGATGTAAAGAAAAAGTGGAAAGACAGAACAAATGAGAAGGAGGGGTTTTGGTTAGAAGAAGTCAAGTGCAAATGTTCAGATCCAGTGAAATTTGCGGATTTGAGAAATTAAATATTTTGGGATACATTTTACATTAAGCCTTGAAAGGTATCACAGGGCACAGGTTTGGTAGATCAAAACTAAGTGTTCTGTGCTCAAAGGTCCAGGGACTGATTTTCTAGGAAGAAAGAGATTCCTTTTTAGTGCGTTTACATATTATCAGTTCATCACTCTTTCATCAGCCCTATGAGTCCGGGCTCTCGCTCTTACAAAACATAAAATAGATGTTCTCGACTGCCACCTGTCCAAATTCAAGCAAGATCAAGGATCTTGTGACAGTGAAGTTACTGTGCAAAGTTTACACAGAGAATTAACAGAAAAGAGAGAAGAACAACTATCTTTTTCCTTAACTCTTGGATAGATTCTCATTTTATCAGCTATGCACAGCATACTTACCCTCCAAATAATATACCATCTATAGGGGGATATATGAGTTTTAATTGTAAAACATTTTTCCTGATTTGTTATTCTTTTCCTCCTTGAACTGCATTTTTTGACATACTCTGGTTAATGACAACAACAAAGCCCAGGGGAGAAGATGCCAGGATCTATATTCAAATTGATATTCAAACAAACTTCCATTCATTAAATAACCAATATAATTGTGCAGGATGCCAGCTGTTCTGTGATCAGTGCTTTTTCACTCTGCTGCCATATTTCTCAAACCACTTCTGAAAGAGCAAATGAGGGCTTCTAATTCTTTGCAATTACCCAAATATCAGGCACCTGGTACATGCCAGTGTTGAACAGGAATGATTCTGTCTATAGCACACTTTGTTCCCTATCTCGCTGCCCAAGGCAGGTCTCTGGTTTCTTATTTCATTTCTTCCTGTTCCAAAATATCTTGGTTGACAAAAAGATGCTGTCCAAATATTCAAAGTATAAATGGGGATAATTTTTTTTTAATTTCTTTTCTAGGGTTATCTTGCCCTTATAACCAGAAAATTTCAAAGCTGTGTCCTTGGAAGTAAACAGCAGCTCTTACTAAATGTCAAATTTACCAGTCTTGAAATTCACAGCACCCAGAAGTATTTTATTATTCTAGTAGTCAAAAAATTAATCTCCATCCATAGATGGTTAGATTTATGTAATAACATCGAGATTATTGGGGTTGCTATAGATGTGATTTTAAAAATTAAATATACCAGCAGAAGCTTCTTGCCAAACAGGAAAACTATCGATCATCTCAGAAAATTTATATGACTTGAAAGGCTACAGAAATATTCATAGGAGAAAAAATTGCTGAAGTACTTAGGAACAAATGCAAAGCCAATCAAGAGACTGATCATAGCTGACATTTAGATATGATTGTGGAGTTCAGCATAGCCTGAAGTATCTTCAGAGGAGAGGAAGTGTGGAATCTTGGTAATGACTGTGGTTATTATACACAATACCTTATCTGACGAGGATTAGTGTATCCTTGAATTTTAAGTTCAATTTCAAGATTCAGTGTGATCTGAGCATGCAGGTACAAGGAGTGTGCAAGAGATGATCTAGATATTATGTGCTGCTGTGCACCTCTGGGTCCTGTCAGGAAAAGTGAGCTCTTTCTTCTGCCCAATTTTGAGTAAGCCACCCTTTAGCACTCTGATGAGTGTCTGTGGTCTCTCAAATGTGCTCAATTCACATCAGATGCTATGTATTTCTCCTCCATGATGACAAGAGTTATGACTCTGTTAATACAGTTAGGGCCACATGAGCTGTAACTAGATCAGGAAAGAAATTAATCCAAGTTCGGTAAATAAAAGTATTCAGCTTAGGAATGAAGAATTGAAATGGAAATTCATAAGGATGAAGTGTTGAAGGAAACACATCTGGAAACATCATCTATATGATATCCCATTCACATACTTAACTCCTTTAATTCCTAGGTTTTGTTACCTTGGTCAGTAATTATGCTAAGGTTGTTTGTTCAATGTTGCTACCAAATATTATCTGAGATTGGCATAAGGTAAAGTCATCTTCAGCACAGACTGAAAACATGTTCAGCCAAATAAAAGCTTTTTTTTTTGTAACAGAAATATGTGGCTTGAAAGACAGTGATCTCCATGGATCACATCTTTAAAAACATCTCAATTTTGAGAAAATGCTTAGAAGTAAGGATGAAGCATACAGAATGACACCATGCCCTTGCTCCCAATCGAAATGTCGAATGAACAGATTATTGGTAACATTTTGATTTAAGGAGGTAAAAAGCCCAGGTAGAGTTCAATCTCTACATTTTGACTCAGCATATGTGACCATCTGCAATTTTATGCATTCATTCACTAATCCATTCTTTCCTTGGCTAAATACTTACTGAATAAATGTGGAGAAAATTGAAAGACAGTACAGGATTTAACTAGGTATCTAACTGAAACAATGCAAGGAAATGGGCAGTTCTGAAGAATTTGAGGAAAACCAAAGCCATTGATGTTGTGGTAGCTTGTTCCAACACCAACTGATCCCTCAAAATTAAAGCAAAACAATCTTTTTTAAAACTTCTTAAAAATTTATTCTTTGTGGATTTCACATCCTTACCCTACTCATTTCCCTGTCCCCTATGCTTCTGCATTCTGCCCTTGCAACCTCGCTCATAAAAAAAAAAATTCAAAATAAAACCAACAAAACAAAACAGAAGCAAAAATCAAGATTGTTTTTTTCTTGGTTTTCTTAACAAGAAATCTAGCACTAGGGAAATTCCTGGGAATCCACAAGGATGGCCCCAATTAACAATCTAAGCAATAGTGGAGAGGCTACCTACCTTAAATTCACTTCCCCCATAATAATGAGATTGATGACTACCTTAAATGCCATCCTAGAGCCTTCATTCAGTAGGAGATGGAAGAGAGAAAGAAAGAGAGGAAGGGAGGAAGGATGGAAGGAAAAAAGAAAGAAAGAAAGAATAAAAAAGAGAAAGACATACAGACAGACTGAAAGAAAGACAGAAAAAAGAAAGAAAGGAAGGAAGGGAGAAAGAAAGAAAGAAAGAAAGAAAGAAAGAAAGAAAGAAAGAAAGAAAGCCTCACAAATTTCCAAAGTCACTGACAGTATATCTAAAAGTTGTGTGGGGAAACAGTGGTGACTCATAGAAACAAAACCCAAACAGAACTTTGCTCCACATTCTTGACTTCTCATCAAAGAATCCACCAAAGATAAGCTAGGAATTTCCGAGGATAAGGATCTTGCACCCATTCTCATCTTCGAGAAAGTCCATAGTCTTTCAAGATTCAAAAGCAGATGCAGGTTTTAGTGAGAGAGTAATCCTCTACAGGGTGGCCAGCAGTAGAAAGAAATTTCATTCTATCAAGCTCTGTAACTTGGAGAGAAGGGACAGCATGCTGACTTGAGATAACTTATCCTTGGAAATTGAGCTACACTGGAGCCTCAAGGAGGAACAGCTACAAGATTAGGAGATGACATGGAAACAGCTCTAGGGTGAGACACAGCCCAGGGAAGCAGCTGTGGGAAGAGACATTGGCAAAACTATAAAATGCCAAATAGACACAGTTCAGAAATAGTGTGCTTAGGGAAAGCAGCAATGTTCTTGGTTGTTGGAAGCCGTTCAAAAATGAAAGTGTTACTGGACTTTGACTACATTAAGCCTGAGATCAGCCTAATAGTTATTCATGGCTATTGAGCCTGGAATCGCTGAAACTTTCAAATCACACTCAACACACAAACATCAGGAGATCATGGAATTATAAGGATGGATTATTCACCTATGCAGATTTCATTGCTTATGGATTCTTTTCAGTGTCCCATCAGAAATGGGAGGCACCTCCAGGTATCCTTACTAAATCAGCAATATTTTTATGTTTTACTATTTTTTGATTTTTTTAAAATTTAAATTTGAAACAAGCTTGCTTTACATGTCAATCCCAGTTCCCTCACCCTCTCCTCCTCCCTTGTCCCCCCACTAAAGCCCATCCATCCCTTTCTGCTCCCCAGGGAGGGTGAGGTCTTCCATGGGGAGTCTTCAAAGTCTGTCATATCATTGGGAGCAGGGTCTAGGCCCTCTTCCATGTGTTTAGGCTGAAAGAGTATCTCTCTATGGGGAAAGGGCTCCCAACATCCATTTGTATACTAGGAATAAATACTTATCCACTACCAGAGGCTCCATAGACTGCCCAGTCCTCCTGGCACCTACATTCAAGGAATCTGGGTCAGTCATATGCTGGTTTCCCAGCTATCAGACTGAGGTCTATGAGCTCCTCCTTGTTCAGGTCAGCTCTTTCTGAGGGTTTCTCCAGCCTGGTCTTGAATCCTTTGCTCATCGCTTCTCCCTCTCTGCATCTGGATTCCAGGAGTTTGGTTCAGTGTTTAGCTGTGGGTGTCTGCTTCTGCTTCCATCAAATACTAGATGAAGACTCAAGTTTGGCATATAAGTTAATCAGCAGTCTCATTATCGGGGAAGGGCATTTAGGGAAGCCTCTTCTCTATTGCTTAGATTGTTAGTTGGGGTCATCTTTGTAG